CCCCATAATTTCGACGTCAGTATCGGTCACGTAATCTTTTTTTCCACGTAACGATTCTTAGCTATCAACCTTTGGACAAGAGAGGCAATAGAAACAGCCTGGGATCGAGGAAGACCTATGTGAGGTGGTACGCCGGACTACAATGAACGTCACAAAAACGTCATTAGAGTTAAACTGTTCTTCCTCCTAACACGAGACCGCAAGTTATGCCGCTCGAAAGTGGTCCCATACAAATGGCCTAAAGAAGAAGCCCACTGGGGAAATTCCCATTCCGTGACAACGACACCCGCTGGGTCAGCCTCATTGGAGAACATTTGCAGTATTTGCGCTCATCGCCTTTCAGTACATTATTTATGTTGGTCCACTCTCAAGAAAAAAAAAAAAAAAATGACGGTAGTCTATCCAAAAGCGACATTCACACCAAACGCTTTGACCAACTCCACTCATGGTTTTTTCTTTTTTATAATTTCCAGTTGTCAACAGAGGAAATCCAAGTCAGCAGACGTGGCATTTGTGATTTACTTTATTATTTAAACCCCATAAAATGAAAAGGTTATGCATGTAAAAATACATTTGTTTTACAATTGTTAACATGAATTTTATTATCGCGGTAGAAACTGAATGAGCAATGCAGCCATTATAAAACTCCGTAAGAATTCTAAAATAAAAGACTTGAAAAAATATTAAATGGAAATCGGGAATAAATGCTTTAAGTACAAAAAGTAGATCTAACTTGTGACATATTTCCACCATAAACGCTGACATTATATACAATCACAAAAAAATTTCTTCCCCCCCCCCCTCCTAATCTTATATTTGAAATTATTGTAGCAATACTGTAAGTAATTAACATTACACTGATACTATGAAATAACCCCTCCTACAACTGAGCTGCCATTTATAAACATTACCACTCCCCCCTGTGGGGGTAGGGTTCAATCGACCGTAATATCGTAGATAATCGCCTTGCACCGGGAACTTGAACCTTATAAAAAAGAATTAAAACCGACGAGGGAAAGAGTGACACCAAAGTTGTTTATAGAAGATACAATTTCGACCATAGACCACTTTACTCTACCGACGATCAAGAGAGTTTTCTTTCATTCAGCTAGGAAAATTTGCTGCCCAGCAAATCTTTTTTTGTGATGACTTAATGGTTCAGCGAGTGCTTTTTAGGGGTCGTCACGCAAGGTCACGCAAGGTTACAAGGTGAGGATGATTACGTGACGGCCCGAAGTACAGATCACTCGGACGAGATTCTGCAGTTTGGACCTTGAAGTGTGAAGCAGGCACAAACTCTCTTGCTACACAAGCTTACATCCTAACTTAGTTTAATTGTTAGTTATTTTTTGAAGTCAGTCAAATTTTAAAAACAAGAGAATCGTTTGAAGTTTCAGGCGAAAATTCTGCAAAATTTCATGAATAACCAATCCTTTTTCCGCGTGCAAGCCTCTAGAAGAAGTAGCACTGTTCGAAGTTTGTTATTTGTACATCGCAGTAGACTACAGGGTACTTATAAATCAATGCATCTTCTTCTTCTTCATGGCTTGGGAAGCTATGTCCACTAAGACGAGCTGAAAAGCAAACCAATACCACAGGGTCACCACCCTCAGCTTAGCCACAGCCTTCGCTGTTTTTAAGTACTCTTAGTGACGGTCATTATCAGCCACTTAAAAACGAGAGAAAATCTAAGACGAGTCTCGTCTCGCGGTCTCGTTACTTGGGACAGTATGACTTCTCATCTTTTGTCCTGTCCCTAGTAACCGCCCCACAAGCCACTGCGAGATACGACTCACCCCCGATTTTTTTTTTTTTATTTCTCGTTCTTTAGGCACAGAGAAAGGTAAAATTGCGGGCGTGATGAAAAAAAAAAATTGTTTATTCCTTGTTCTTCTGACCACAAGAATGCAGTGCTGTAGAAGGGTTAGTTTCACTCACTTTTCAGTTCGAAAAATAGTTTTCTCAGTCAGTAAGGGCGAACCGCCTTTGGGAGAATCATCTTCCGCGCAAAACAACCGCATTTTATCAACGGGGGTTTAGTTGTTAAAAACGTGGTAAGGTCCGGTTTATTTGCTAGTTGTTATATTGTTTCCGCATGGTAAGGTGTACGAGAGCGTTTCTTCAAGTTCACAGTCCGCGTGTGCCTCAAACAGAGTTCGCACCAGCTGTTTGCATTCCGAGAACACGGAACTCCGTTCCACTCTTTCTAAATCGTTTTGGCCCGCTTGTCTATCATAGTAAACTTTTAACTTGAAATTACGGTTTCCTTTGATTGGAAGACAAATCCTTACCTGAAGCGAAAATATCTGAAAAATTCTGAACTATCCGAAAAATTCGCTCAAGGATGACTCCCTTGTAAAAATGACAAGGGGTAATCGTCGTACCATTGGCGTCAAATTTGTCGATTGATATCTAAAAAGACCGCTGTTAGCGTTTCGCGGTATCTTTTAGGGTTTTGGGGCGAAAGATTGTCACCGCCAATTTATTTGTTGTACCCCTCAGGGGGGTGAAAATGACTATTTGAGCCACGCTTTAAAAACGAGAGTTTGGTATCTTTCAGGATTTTCCCCCACTACTTCCGATAACGCTGCCCAGCTCTTTTTATAGAGGAGTTTACAACAGATCTCGCACAACAGATCTCACCTTGATCGACAAAGAAATCCGCCATGTACTGCGTTACCAACACCGCTTCTTTGGAATGATTTATAGCTTCCGCAGTTGTCCATTCGAAAGAATTCTTCTCGGGATGCCACTGAACAGCATAGAATGGGTAATCATACGCTAGAGAAAGAATAAATTTATCACTTGTAAGACTAGGAGCAGTTCTTAATTACCTCCATAGAATCATAGAGTGAGAAGCCAGCACAATCAACAACAACAACAGCAAAAAGAGCGGGAGAAATAGCCAGGAAAAAAACCGCGCACAGGAACAGGGCGTGCCATTTTTCCGCAGCGGCAGCTTTCGCTTGTCAGTAATGATCTTTGAGAGTAAGGTCAGTAAGTTGATCTATGAATCTTCTGTATCCTCAGTGTAGGGACATCACTGGTTATATAAATAAAACCAACTCAAAGTCAAACTTCCCGCTCAGATGTCTGCGTAAGGCACGTATTATATGAAAAACTAGGCGGAAAGTTTTGCGGTCCATATAAAAAGTAACCTTTAGATAAGCATAGAATAAAGATGGAGATGGAAGAAGGATAAGACAACGAAAGGCATACTGATCGTTAATAAAAGGTTAAGTCTGCATATGAGCCAAGTGGCCCATCAGGCCGGAGCTTATCCCGTTTTCTGAAGCATGAAGCAACTAGGAGTATTTATACTCCCCCCTGGATGGGATGCTAGTCCATCGCAGGGTTACCCCCAGCATCAAATTCGCCAGTACCCATTTATACACCTGGGTGGAGAGAGGCACTGTGAGAGTAAGGTGTCTTGCCCAAGAACACAACACAATGTCCCTGGCCAGGGCTCAAACCCGGACCGCTTGATCCAGGGGTGAGCACACTAACCATGAGGCTTCTGCCCTCTAGATGCATGAAGAAGTTTAGTTCTGATCACCTTCAATGGTTGAAACATATTCTTTCTTTCCTTCTTTGTCTCTGTTGGTTGACAAACGCTTGTAAAACTTGTGAAGCTTCTCATTACTGTTGTATGTCTAGAGGATGAACATTGCACATTGATTTTTTTAAAAATTTAACTACAATGAACCTTTTACCAATGTCAAGCAATTACAAAACTACCTCAGATCAATTTATCTGGATTTATCATACAGAATTTAGTATTGCAATTAATTTAGTAGTAGTAAATTGCAATTAATTTAGTAGTAATTATGCAATAAGTTTCATAAAAATCCATATTACAAACACATGAAAATAGGAAATCCAAACTTACCAATTGTTATAAAGAAATGTATGCGAGGGGGTGGGGAGGGAGGGGCAGAAAGCATTGCCACCTGGCACACGTTTCTTTGCAAAAATGTAACTGTAGAGGGTAGCAAAGGGAAATTGTGATCCCATTTTGCATATTCAATAAAGTTTTAAAAACAAAATTATGCAAGCCACGTCTTTCAGTTGCTTTTCATGCATTATGTACTCTATAATTTTTGCCGTTATCATGTGTCATGCAAAACCCCATTTCCACCTTCAATGTATTCATGCTGTAAGGAATTACATGTTACCAAATCAGTCTTGGAACTTATTACTAACAGTACTTCCACTGAACAGGAATCAATATGAACCCCACAGAAGCATTTCCATCTTAATATCACAGGTCACAACTTACTTCCTAATTTTGGGTTTATTCAAAATTTCACATGTGAAATTACAAAATTGCCATGGCAACATTTGGTGCAAAGTTTCTCAATACTCAATGCGCAAGTCATTAAAACCCAAGATTATACACATAAGTGTACTTTGTCACCCATGATATTAAAAGGTAATTACGTACATAGTATCCTTCCGAAAATTTAGAAAATAATAATTATTTTGCTTGTGTTTTGTCAAAAATTATTCAAATCATTTCTGTCAACTAAAGGCTTGGTAAATTATAAGAATTTTAACAAAACACACACAAAATTATTTCCTAATTTCACTTGACACCATTTGATTATCCATACAGACAAAATAAACAAAAGAAAACTTTCATTGTTGCCATGGCAACATTTGGCACAAACTTTCTCAATACACAATGCACAAGTCATTAAAACCCATGACTGTAAGTGTACTTTGTCACCCATGATATTAAAAGGTAATTACGTACATAGTATACTTCCAAAAATTCAGGAAATAATCTTGCTTGCGTTTTGTCAAAAATTATTCAAATCATCTTTCTTGCCTAAAGGCTTGGGAAATTATAAGAATTTTAACAAGACAAGCATGAAATTATTTCCTAATTTCACTTGTCACCATTTGATTATCCATACAGACAAAATAAACGAAAGAAAACTTTCATTGTTGCCATGGCAACATTTGGTGCAAACTTTTTCAATACACAATGCACAAGTCATTAAAACTCATGACTGTAAGTGTACTTTGTCACCCATGATATTAAAAGGTAATTATGTACATAGTATACTTCCGAAAATTTAGAAAATAATTTTGCTTGCGTTTTGTCAAAAATTATCCAAATCATTTCTCTCACCTAAAGGCTTGGGAATCACAAGAACTTTAACAAAACACACATAAAATTATTTCCTACTTTCACTTGTCACCATTTGATTATCCATACAGAAAAAAAATGAAAGGAAGCTTTCAAAATTTACTTACATCAGAGGAAATACAGTTACGATGATGGTTATAAGTAACATCCAGGGTTTTCAGGTAGGTTATTATCTGTTCAGAGGCAGATCCAAGGAGTCTGCTAGACCCATAACCTTGAAGAAAATCAAAATGTTCAGTTGTGTGAACAAAATGTTTTTAACTATTAGATGGATCCAATTAAAAACTATTCATGAAGGAACCAGCTCTGGTTTCTACATACTTGGTCCCTATCATTTAAAATTATCAACTAAAACAGACGGTTTTCCTGATTATAAATCTCAGTTAACCCATGTGCAAAGTTTCTGATGTCTAAAGAACCTGTTGTACTAGTCTTTTGTAATCTAGCATCATTGAAATTTTTTTTTGGAGAGTTTCTCTTACATAGGGATAAACTGGATATAACTCCCTTTCCAAATCTATACAACATTCAATGTATTTTTTTTTGTTTATGAATTTGAGTAAAGGGTAAGCATGCAAAGTTGATCAACCAACCTAGACTGAGGTTTAAAGGAACGCTGTAATCTTCAGCATCCACTGATGATGTTACGTTTTCACCGCCAGCGCCAAGACTCATGAGCAACTCGAATCCATTACATGTTCCCCAGAGTGGAAACACATCACCAGCATCATTTGCCTTCACAGCAAGATTGAAAAGTATTTTGGCTGTTCTTTCATAAGGGGAACCATAGATATTTGCAGAACCTCCAGGAAGTAAGACACTTAAAAAACATAAAACAGAACAGTTTAATGACAAACTGCTAAGCTAAGAAACACATAATAATTGTAACAAAATTTCTACAAGAAGACAAAATTATGTTACAAATGGCTGAAAAAGTAAAAAACCAAACATTTTCGACATGATGTTACCTTCGGGGTAAAAAAGGCTGTCTGCTACTCACATAATTTACATCTGTTAGGTAATTCCAGACAGAAATAGTTTTGCCATGTAACCGTGAATTTGTTCGTTCAAGCTGGGTTGCCATTGCAATGAAAGAAACTTAACTGCTTAACATGAGAAAAACTAGGCTCAATTTCCCCTCGATTTTCTTGGGTTCAGTCCAGAGTCTGGACCGGACTACATATGTTCCTCCCTGAACGGCAGCTGGTTATCAAGCCTAGAGAATACTTAAACTTACCTGGAATGTGGGTCAAAACCAGGGGTACCCCCCATATATTAGTCACGAGTTTATTTAAGGTGTTCAGAGTATTGTAAACTTCATTTTGACAGGGTACAATTTTCTTTTGCCCTGAGGTGACTGTGAATACATACACTGTATGTATTACTACATAAAATTAATTATATATATTTACAATAATATTGTAGTATTGTTTTAAACAAATGAAATTTACTGTAAGGATAAGTCTGCATTCAAACCTAATTACCTTTCAGGCCAGCACTTGCCTCTGGTTTCAGTAGCATGAAGCAACTGATTAGAAGTATATATATTACCTATTACATATATCTTAGGTTTCAGATAAATTCTAAATTTTTATGACTCCATTAGCACATTAGATCCTTTGTTGAACAACCCCACGAGTTTTGTAGCTTTGAAAACTATCGTTTTAAAATAAAGGTTGATTGATTGATTATATGCATACATGTACTCCCTGCTGGATGGGATTTCTAGTCCACTGCAGGTTCACCCCACAGCATTAACTTTGCCAGTGCCCATTCACACACCTGGGTGGAGAGAGGCACTCAGAGAGTAAAGTGTCTAATGCCAAAGTACACAATGCAATAACTCTGGTCAGGGCTTAACCACAGACACTCACTCTCAAGTCCAGCAAAATAACCATTAAGCTAGTGTGCCTCCCAAACCAGAATAAAATGTACTATCTAATAAGCCAACTACAAGCTCTAGTGTATGTAAGTTGATATTAACTATTAGTATAAATCTACTAGCGTTCTATCATCAATGCCATTTTCTGATTGGCTATGCTACTCACTATCTATTCATTGATAGATAGTGAGTAGCGTAGCAGAGTGCCCTTGTTAACAAAATGACGGCTGCTTCTTGGCGTTTTCGAAGTGTCTGTGAGAGGATTTAGATTAAGTTTCGAACGACCAGTAGACTTATACTAAAACAATTAGATTATTCACTCTCGATTTCTATTGTACAATAGTTTACTTGGGCTGTGCCCTCATCCACCATCACGCGATAGAAATCAAGAGTGAATAATCTAATTGTTTTATAGACAGTATGTATATATTAGAGGGAAAGGAGTCTTACCCATTTATAGAATGAAAGAGCTCTTCCACTTGCTCCTCAGTCAGGTTGTTTCTGTCATGAGTTAAGACTACCATTTGTTTCTTGTATAATTTATTAAATGATTTTAAAATACTGTGGCCCACAGCCTTTAAGGCTCCTAACAAAGAATGGCAACCCCCTTTTTTAGGTTTAAGGCTTGTAACCTACTTTCTCTAACATTTGCCTTGCCAAAAAGGACTTAGACTGAAATAATATTAGGGAACTGGGGTTTTCTGTTAGCTACAAAGTTAGATAAAATGTGTGTCATGGAAATCCATGATAAGGGTATTAATATTTCCTTTCCCAATTTCCCATCAACAAAACAAGGACACAAATCAGAGCAAATGAAGACCAAGACTTCTACTTATCTTTACCAAGACAATCTATCTACTTATCTCTATGAACCAATGTTTAACTACATGTGTCATCAACTTTGATCATTGCAAGGTCCAGTTCCATGGTTATTTCATTAACACACAACTTTGCGCATACAGTACTGTAGAAGGCATCATGCTAGACATGAATTGACTAAAACTTTTCTTATCAAGAGCTTGTGAAACTTGGTAATTGGTGAAATTTTGGGCTCTTTGGGTGTAATATTTGGGGAGAACTTTCTGGGTGGCAAAAGCCCTAATGAAGTCATACATTCTTTGTAAAATTTTGAGTTTTAAAACAGGCGTCGTGCAAAAACTATTCAATACATTGGGCTCAAATTCCTTGGGACAGTTAAGCGTGCTATGCCCTTTCAATAATCAGAACTAATGTTTTAGTACCTCCATCAGAAACTGTACCGCTTATGCTAATGAGACAAATAAAGTAAACAAAGATTCTAGTATAAAAAGAGGGAAATGTCATGTATGTAGTAACTTCATGCTACTCTAGATGTATAGGGTAGGTAATGTCTGCATACAAGCCAAATGGCCCATCAGGCCAGAGCTTATCCTGGTTTCTGTAGCATGAAGTGACTAGGAGTATTTCTACTCCCCCCTGGATAAGATGCTAGTCCACTGCAGGGTTACCCCCGGCATTAATTTCGCCAGTACCCATTTATACACCTGGGTGGAGAGAGGCACTATGAGAGTAAGGTGTCTTGCCCAAGAACACAACAAAATGTCCCCAGCCAGGGCTCGAACCTGGACCACGCAATCCAGAGACGAGCGCATTAACCATGAGGCCACTGAGCCTCCAGATGTTTAGATATCTAGAGAACTGTTTGACAGTATATGATGTGAAAGTCTGTTTCTGTATTCTCTATCTTTGAAGGATACCTTATTGGTACAACTCTGCCTCCCGCAGACTCTATGTACTTGACGTAAGAAGCAGCAATGTATGTTGGACCAAAGTTCTTCTTCATGTACCCGAATGTGTCCTGGGCCAGTATTCCTTTAACGCCACAATTCAGTCAAACACTCAAAAAAAATTGTTATGCCACTTGTGAAAAGTATCCACATGCCACAGCTAGTTGCTGCTTCTAATTCTAAATCTTTACTGTGCAAGAAACTCCCTCGGGTGGGGGAGGGA